TGGAGGCGGCGGCAGGAAGAACCCCGGCGGAGACCTGCGAAAGCCTGGCAAGGTACGTGCGTGAGAGGCTTCGGGGCGAAAAGGGCTGAGGAGGGGCGGGGGAAAAAAAAATAAATCATTTAACTTGATTTTTACCTCCCCTCGTTTTCCAGATCGAGAGGTTTCTTCCTCATAGCCCCTAGCTTATTTGTGTGCTGACAGCTATAAGCTGACGGCGGGGAGGGTGAACAGTTGGAGACGTATATATACTTATTTGGAATTTTTGGGGTGTTTTTGTTTTAATTATTTTTTTTTCTCCCCGATGGGGGAGGTGGCAGACGGTGGAAAGGGTGGGGTTAAACCACGCGGACGTGGATTCTCTACCCTGGCGCACAGGAGCATCGGCAACCGGCACATGTTGCAACACACTCGGTGAGAAGGAGGCAGAGGCGCAATCTGTTGGCATGGATGAAACTTAGGCCAGCTCAGACGAGTTAAATGACCGTATGTTTGTCGTCGTCGGGTTTTTTTCTTTTTTTTTTTTTTTCCTCTTTTAAAACGTGGGGAGGAGGAGTAGGTGCGGAGACCGTGAGTTTTTTCCAGAGAAAACCTGAGACATAGGGTTGCTGCAGTGCTGGGTGCTGCTGCAATCCTCTCCTTGGCTGGAGGAGAGAAGCAGAGGGGAGGACGCGGGCACGGTAGCGCCCGTTGGGTTTTCTTCGGGGGTGGTGGCAGAACTGGAAGACTCGCACAGCTCGTGGGGTCAGCTAATTAGCAGGCTGTAACCGAGTAGGTTAATTATTAATACCTGCGCAGCGTTAGGATTTTGCTGTTAGCAGTGTAGTGCTGAGGTGGTGGCTCTAAAATACGGACCTGGTGAACCTGAAAGGGGGAAGATGATATTTTTGGTAGAGTTAGCCTGAATAGATGTGCTCTTCCACGAGATGATGCTTTTTAGTCCTTTAAACTTCCTGAGACATACTGTACCTTATCAGGAGGGGACTTCTACTCGCTGCAATTGTGGCCAAACTGCAGCTCACAATTCATTAGTCATCCTGCAAAAATTTATGGTGAAAGTTACTTGAGTAACCCGTTGATTATTAAACGCTAATGTTTAGTTTTAACTATGCAAAAGGGAAGTTTGCTTGGTTCACTTGGGGTTTTTTCCCCACTTTTGTTTTTGTGTTGTTTTTTTTTCCTTTTTTTAAAAATTATTTTGGACACAGAAAGTGGGTTTGGGCACAGAAGAGTTTAATCTGTATGTGGAAGGATGCACGTATAAAATTACGTGCTCAATATATAATCTGAAAGTTGTTGAGGAAGCATGATTATAGTGTTCTCTTTTGAGGAAATTTCTGGTTAATTATTCCTCTGCTGTCTTAAGGAGAGACAGTCTCGAATTTAGTTCTCTTAAAATTGCTTAAAACGGTTTCATCTTCTTGTAGTTCCGCTTTTGCGTAAGATTCTCATGCTGTTACGGAGGGGTGTGTGCGGGTGGGGTGGGGGCAGCAGATGACACTCCGGTGAGTGGTACAGTTGATTCTTTGCTCAGATGGCTGAGCCGAGGAACCGGCTGCTGGCAACGGCTGCCTTGTCACCTTAGTGACCCAGCATAATGCCTGTTGAAACCACCGGAGGAGCTGAATTAGCTCCGAATTATTACCAAATGTGTGGGGGAAACAAAAAGGAGAATCAGCTGTTCTCGTTCAGCAGATCTAATTTCTAATGTTTTTTTTCCTGGAGCCGTGAACAACTTCAAAAGAGAATAGGCTCTTTAAAAAAAACCAATATTGCAGTGGAGATGAATTCAAATACAGAATGTTTGTCATATAGTTAAAAATACGATGCTGTCGGTTAGAATCAAAATGTTTTGGCTTAAAGGAAACACTGATTTTGCTGCTTGCTTTTAACGTGTGACTTTCTACCTGAGATGTGCAGTACTGTTGTTTGGCTATAAGGAAGCTTCAGACACTGCAGAAGTGATCAAAAATTAGAATTTAAGTCATTTTGTCATCTGTAAACTGGTTTTGCTTGGGTTTTTGCTTGTTTTCTTTCTCCCTGTACTGTAAATAGACATGGAAAATGGAGGAAAAGGAGGTACAGCAGCAAGGTAATGCTGCCAAAGGGACTTGTTTTGAAGGTCATGCGTTAGATGACTGAGAGTGCTAGCTAGCTGTCCGATACTCTGTCTCATAATAGACAGAGCTCACTAATCTCCCTAGAGATTGTTCCTAATGAGCAGAATGTCACTGGTGGTCAAAATTTTTATTATTATTGCCTGTAAGCTCCTAAATTTTTTTAAATACTTTTGGGTAATGAAGGTGCTGCTGAGGAGATAAGTGTGAAAGCAGTGCTTGCTCAGAAAAGCTTTGATAAAAAATAAGTGGGTAAAGTGGTTTTGCATTCTGTGCTGACAAATATACGCAGTTGTCTGCATGAGTAAGTTACACTGTATATGGAGGAAAAAAATGTAGGATCTGAGTCTTCATCTTCATGCAGACCCATCAGACTCCTTGGAGAATGGTCTTTCAGAGGAGAGCTGCTCTATGGGGACTTGTCACTGCCAAGACCCTTAGCAATTGTCATTTTACTGCCACCTGGTGCGGCTGTTTTTGCAGTGGAACTAGCTCCGATAGTGGCTTTTCCTGTTGGCTATGTGAAATCACTTGAAGGAGAAGAAATGGTGGTGATAAAAGCCAGTCTGTGTCAGTGCTGATCGTGTTGAAACATACGATGTAGTCATATGTCTCCTAGCACAGTCAATGTTGTCATGATCATGACAGTCAAGAAGCAGGGATGGCTTGTTATTGATATGTGTGCTTGACTGAAATCTGTATAGCCTTGTTCCTCCAAGTTAAATAAAGGAGAGGAAAAAGATGGAACAGTATCAATTAAAATCCTCAGCTGACTTCTTTGGTAACTTGTTCTTTTTCAGCAGATGACTTCATTTTTGGCAAATATGTGTGAAGTTATCTTGTCAGATAACTATCACCTCAGACAGCTTGTGAAACTTTGAAGTTAGTTACTTGATGGGCTTTCTCTGTCTCCTGTCAGACTTGTGGGTTTTGATGGGAAGTGACTGAGCAGCTCCATCAGGAATGCATCAAGGGTTCTTTCCAGCTCTCTTTATTTTACTGGATTTGGTTATGTTTCCTGCTGTAAAAATCCCATTAACTACTCCTTTTTCCGTTGAAGCATTTGCACTCTAAATAGTAGGGCCTGGTAGGTTTCTTGCAGGTTTGTCACACACTTAAAGCTTCTTAAACTGTATAATTCTATAACTTGCCAAGAACAGGCCCAAGGGGGAGTGGGGGGAAGCTGTTGGCAAGAGTGTACCTATTGTGGCAACAAGGTTTTAAGAATCTGTTTTATTTGATCAGTTTGGTTTTTGTAGAAAGCACAGAGTATAGAAAAAAAAGATGTGTTTCATTAAAATAATGAGCATTTCAACATGTCTGGTTTTCATGTTAATGTTCCTGGAAGGCCATTAGGATCGATCTTCCAAAAGCTTGAAACCGACTTGGTCACTTTCATAGGTTGTCAGTTTGGGATTTTTTTCCTAATATGTCTATTTATTACATTTCCTATTGCTGTACAGTAGAAGTACATAAGTAATTTTGAAGCAAGCAGGCATACATTTGCTTTTCAAATTTAAACTTTTAAAATCTCTTCCAGGTATACCCAATTTTAATCCCTAATAGTTGTTTGTAAAATAACATTTTTTAACCAAACAATTAGTTTAGGAAGAAGATGTGGTTGTTATGGTTGCGTGCATGAGAAATCACGGGATTAGTATTTGATGTTTCTAGTGTGTCGTAGGCTGCATTCAGACAAGTGCTTCACATGGTTTAGAGAAGAATTTGTGCCTGTGAGTGCAGTTAACAAAAATTACTAATGTAATCTCCCTGTTATGCCATGTTCTGACCTCATGAATGTACGTTCAGATGTTTTTGTCAGTCTGCTGCTTCTTCACAGTTGCATTGCACAATCCTTATGTGCTTAAAAACCAGCAAAAACTAACCAAGAAAAGATGATGGTGATATAATGAAATACAGGCTCTTCCTGTGACTTTAATACAGAATGAACAAGTCCCCAACTGAAAGTTGGGGAATAAATATCTCAGAGCTGTTCAGGCACATTTTGCTTTTTACCTAGGAAGAACTGACAGGTGTCTTGGGCTCAGTCCTGCACTTCTCTTGTACCTTTTTCACCGATTTGGTTGGGCCTTTTAAGATTTAAAAGAAGTGTAAGGAAACCTTCCCAAGTCTCCAAGTCGCTTAAAACCCGGTGAAAAGACTGGATCATTAAAATGTCTTGTGATGAACTGTGCAGAAGAGTGATTGAATTGAGGAGCAATTAACATTTAAATAAGGAAAAGAATCCCAGTGTGTGATGGGTGTGGTGCTGAGATTTGTAAAGGGACAATTGATGAAACAATTTCATCAGCAGTTGATTAAGAAAGCTTTGTCGTGTAAGAGTAATACAATAGTACGGGTTGAAAAAAGCATTTAACTTGGAACAAGTTTTGTTCATCTTTGTAAATAACTTCTGAAATGTAGCAGCTGCTTCATCTTAAGTTCACAGAAGATTTACTCTGAGAATGAATTGACTAAATCATTTGTAAGTCAGCTATCTAAATCAAATGAGCAAGAAATCTTGATTATTTGTTTTTTTGGTGGATGACTAATTTTGTTATTTTGCTGTAAAAGATTAATTCTTAGTGGCTCACTGGTTTACAAACCCCTAGAGGATATGCATATTTGTATCCGATGTACAGTAGTAGTGTGGCATGGAAAGTTTGTGCCCTGCTGAGATGCATGTGGGGCACTCAAGCTCCAAGGCACAGCGGCTGAAGCAGCGCTCCTGTTATGCTGTTCGTGAGCTGTGTCCTGAACTGCATTGAGGAACCGAGTGGGTTGAGAAATAACCTTTCTGTTTGCTTGTCTTTGGGGTTATACGTAGGGTAGGACAGTGAGCTATGCAGGTAGGGGATTCATGGGCTGGGGAAGGGTGGGATTTTTTTAATCCAGTTTAGGGAGTGGTGCAGCTGAATGTCAGAGACTGTACCCTGAA